TGGTCACAAATCAAAATTTTGTAAATCACATATTATTTCGAGGTCACAGTTCATTCAAATTACAAGTCACATTGTATCTATGAGTCACATATGTCACAGTTTATCGTTCACAAATTATTTTTTAGTCACAGACATCTAATTGTCGGTCACAGATGCCCCCACTCGTCACCGCCACCGCAACAATCACTACCGACATCATCATCAACAACACAACAATGGTTCGACACCACTGCCTCCAAAACCACCATCACCTCACCAACACAAGCATCGCAACCCCTTGCCACCACCATCATGGGCACCACTGTGCCGATAACACCACCACACCATCGCGCCCACACACACCACCACCGCACCACCCACAACACACTACACCAGTACCATTTCCTCTATCTCTATTTACACCACCCCCACCAAAGAATCCACAAGCCTACCACCACCACTTAAAAAACACAATAAAACACGCCGAAAAATCACACCAACACGGCAACACCACACCACAAACACCACCGCACATAACACCACAACACCGCCACCACCATACCATATCTGAATCCGTCGTAAAGCGAAGCCATTCACAGAGCTTTCATCACAAAACAACACCTCTTTAACCCAATTAGTGTCCAGAGGCATCGCGGCAAGCGCAGTCGCAGGCGCTGCTTTGAGCTGTGGCTCACAAAAATCGGAGCAAGACGTATCTCCGACGTCGTCTTTTTTCGGCTTATCTTCCCGCAGTAGCGACGTTCCTAGGCAGAGGTCACCGTCGCACCCCTTGCAGCCTCCGCCACTCTTCTTTGCAGCGATGCCGTTGGTGACTGATCTCCTATAGCGATTTGTTATAGAGAGAAGGAAGAGATTGTAGAGTGACAAAGGAAGTGACGAGATTGAATTGGGGAATTGATTAGGGTTTTTAATTGAATTGATTGAATTAACTATATATAATACCTAATGTTTGCATAGACAAATTTCATCCCTGAACTTTGAATTTAAACTTTTAAATGCCTGGTTCTATGTAATTTCCTCTTTTTAATATACCATATGGGTCTTGTAAAAATGAGTTAATAAAATTATAATTATTTTATTTTGATTAATTGTATGATCCAACCCATTTAATTTAAATCTATTTTGTATTAAACTTTTTATTTATTATATTTTACCTTTCTCACAAATTCTATATTATTACTTATAAAACTAGGAATACTTATATTACAATAAAAATAAAATAATTGTTCTGTCATTTTTTTAAAAAATATTTTGTTAGACGGATCCCTGTATCCGTATCCTAAATTCGGATCCTTTTTAAAGATATCCTCGTATCTTAATTTTTAAAATAAGAAGAATTCGACTCCTAGATATGTACCAGTATCCGACACCAACACTCGAGTCCGAGCAACATAGGGTGAATATATGTATTAGATTAGATACGTACATTGTAAAGCCAATAAAAGGCTTGTGGATACCATTTTGAAACAAGTCAATTCAAGAAATAAAAATAGAATGTTCTCTTGAAATTATGATCTCCTCTCTTAAAGTTGTTACATCTCCAAGTTCCCTACATATATATCTTCCATTCTTGCTAAGATTGATCTTCATTTTCTAACTAATGGTTATTAAAATGCAGATCTCTTGGAATGGCAATTCCTGAAGTGAAATATTTTACAGAAGCCTCTGTTGCAGCCTCGAAAATGCTTCACAGAATAGACCGGATTCCAGTAATTGATGGAGAAGAGACAAAAGGACTTGTTCTTGAAAAAATAAGAGGAGAGCTTGAATTTGAGCACGTCCAATTCACATATCCTTCTCGACCCGATACTTTCGTGCTCAAAGATTTCGATCTTAAGATTGAAGCAGGAAAAACTGTGGCTCTTGTTGGTGCAAGTGGGAGTGGAAAATCTACTGCAATTGCATTGGTGCAACGGTTTTATGATGCAAATAGTGGAACAGTGCGCATTGATGGTGTAAATGTAAAGGCATTACAGTTGAAATGGTTAAGACAACAAATGGGACTCGTAAGTCAAGAACATGCATTGTTTGGGACATCAGTGAAACAAAATATCATGTTTGGGAAATTTGAGGCCACCATGAATGAAGTTGTTGGTGCAGCAATGGCAGCAAATGCCCATAATTTCATTAGGCAGCTTCCAGAAGGGTACGAGACTAAGGTAAGTCGACAAATCTTGGTCTATTAACCTGTTCATAATTGCTTCTTTTGCTAATGAACTGAACATTAGTGATGAGACTGCACTAGGCTGCTGCAGTGGAAAAGCTCTATTCCAATGAATAGAGCGGCGAAGCTCCGAATGAGACCTAAACTGAGGACCACTCTCTCTGAAAATTGAAACTGTTAAGAGATTTACTGCATTTTCTTGACTAGAAATTTACGAGATAGAGTTTTGACAAACATGTATGGTTTTTAATAGGTTGGCGAACGAGGAGCACTTCTATCAGGTGGACAAAAGCAACGGATTGCAATTGCCAGAGCCATCATTAGAAATCCTGTCATTCTTCTCCTTGATGAAGCAACAAGTGCACTGGACTCTGAATCAGAAACACTCGTCCAGAATGCACTGGATCAAGCCTCCATGGGAAGAACAACTCTGGTACTTGTTTCTGTCTAGTATATGAACCTCAAACACCACCTTCTGAAAATTGTAACACATTTTAGTCTAATGACAATCACCTCAAGGTCTTGAAATTAGTCTATTTGTCAATATGAGAATGAAGTCCATAAACTAAAATTTCTAGTGAATTTAAAAGCTTGAAGGGCTTAATTTTGTGACTCTAAATGTGAACTTATCACACTGCGCTGTTGCTAAATTTGACCAGGTTATTGCGCATAAACTGTCAACAATAAAAAATGCAGATCTGATTGCAGTTGTAAGTTGTGGCAACATAGTGGAAACTGGTACACACAATGATCTCATTGAAAGAAATGGCCACTATGCGAAACTGGCAAAGCTTCAAAGGCAATTCAGTTCTATGGATCAAGAGCAAAATGCAGAAGCACAAGTCTCATCAGCAGCAGGAAGCAGCGCAGGAAGAAAAAGCACAGCGAAATCGAGCCCTGCTGTCTCCCGTTCAACTTTACCAATTGCCAATGATCCACAACCTGTATCCTACCCTTCACCATCTTTTTCCAGGCTTCTATCCTTGAACTTGCCCGAATGGAAACAAGGTCTTATTGGTAGCCTTTTGGCTATTGCTTTTGGTGCGATACAACCTGTTTACGCACTAACAATAGGTAGCATGATTTCAGCTTTCTTCGCACCAAGTCATGAAGAAATGCAAGCCCGAATTGAAAAATACGCTCTCATTTTCAGTGCACTTTGTTTTATCTCCATTGCTGTAAATATATGCCAACATTACAACTTTGCATACATGGGCGAGTGCCTGACAAGAAGAATCAGACTGAAGATGCTTGAGAAAATCTTGACCTTTGAAACAGCTTGGTTTGATGAAGAACAAAACTCAAGTGCAGCCTCGTGCTCAAAACTGAGTAACGAAGCATCAATGGTTAAGTCACTTGTTGCTGATAGAGTTTCTCTTTTAATTCAGACAGCATCTGCCGTGATTATTTCAATGATAATGGGGCTAGTCATCGCCTGGAAACTTGCACTTGTCATGATAGCTGTCCAACCACTCACAATACTCTGTTTTTACACCCGAAAAGTTCTGATTTCCACCATGACTAGTAATTTTATCAAGAAACAGAATCAAAGCACTCAAATTGCTGCTGAGGCTGTGTACAACCACAGGATAGTGACTTCATTTGGGAGCATGGGAAACGCCCTTCAAATTTTCGATGAAGCTCAGGATGAGCCTAGAAAGGAGGCAAGAAAGAAATCTTGGCTTGCAGGAATTGGCATAGGGTCAGCTCAAGGTCTAACTTTCATGTGTTGGGCTTTGGATTTTTGGTATGGAGGAAAATTGGTCAACAATAGAGAAATATCAGCCGGAGATCTTTTTAAGACTTTCTTCATTTTGGTGAGCACTGGAAAAGTTATTGCTGATGCGGGGAGCATGACGTCTGATCTAGCCAAAGGATCAGCAGCAATTGCTTCTATATTCGCCATCATGGACAGAAAATCATCAATCCCAGGTTCTTATACTGTAAGTACAAGTAAAATCTTTTACCTTCTTTGATACATAACTGCCGTCTTTGGTTTAGTTCTGAGATCAATTTGTGTTGTGATTAGGCCGGGGATGGTGGAATAAAATTGGAAAAAATAACTGGCGGTATACAGATGAAAAGGGTCGATTTTGCATATCCCGGCAGGCCTGAAATGCTGGTTCTCCGCGATTTCTGCTTAGAAGCAAAAGAAGGCACAAGCATTGGGCTTGTTGGAAAAAGTGGGTGTGGAAAATCAACAGTAATTGCCTTGATTCAGAGATTCTATGACGTTGATTGTGGTTCAGTGAAAGTTGACGGTGTGGACATAAGATTACTGGATATAAACTGGTACCGAAAACACACTGCACTCGTTAGCCAAGAACCAGTGATATACTCGGGCAGCATTCGTGAAAATATAATGTTCGGAAAGTTAGATGCCTCAGAAACCGAGGTTCTAGATGCTGCAAGAGCCGCCAATGCTCATGAATTTATCTCGTAAGTTCAAAACTTAACTCCATTAACATGGACTTTAACTCCATTAACATGGACCCATGAAAGAACTTTACTCCCACTACATTGAACTAAATATAATTTTGACTTGTTCTTGATCAGGTCACTGAAAAACGGATACGACACAGAATGTGGAGAGAGAGGAGTGCAGTTATCAGGAGGTCAGAAACAGCGAATTGCAATTGCTCGAGCAATAATTCGAAACCCGAACATCCTATTACTAGATGAAGCAACCAGTGCACTTGATGTTCAATCAGAACAACTTGTGCAGGAAGCGTTGGACAATATCATGGTGGGCAGAACAACAGTTGTGGTTGCACACAGGCTTAACACTGTTAAGAATTTAGATTCCATTGCTGTTGTTATGGATGGGAAGGTGATCATTTTGCAAATGCAACTTCCAACTCCTTCGTAGTGATGTGGCTCTTGCCCTCGAAGTAACGCTATAACAACCTATTTGTTCGTCTAACATATTCCATATGCTTTGCGTCTGGACCAGTTCCACAATTCAGGCCAGTTATTAGGGCCCATTTTTTCAATGAAAACCTAGCCGGCTTGTCTCTGAAACAAAACCATAACTCATCCTCCTTGTCACACTTAACTAGCCTATTCAGCAACTGGTGTATAAGTTGACCAGAGAACTTAATGCGTCTCATTCCAACAAATTGCCCAAAGCAGGAAGCTTCGAACGTCTTCTTATGTTCATTTTCCAGGCTACCAAGGATTAAATCAATTGAAGCTAATGAGATGACTTGTGTGGCCTTTGCTTCAAATCGATCACCTTTCTCAATTACAAATTCCATTCTGATCGAAATATAAATTCGCAATTATTTGTACCTTCAATAAAGATTTAAGTACAAGAATCCCCAAATCAAGAAAATGTCCCATGAAAATGACCCATGTTGATTCTACTTCATTACAACAGAGTAGGTCGAATTCAAGGGGCCGATTCTCCCTGAAATTGACCACAACCCTATTGATTATACGACAGAGGTTGCACGAACTCCGAAATATGAAAATTTTTTAAACAATGCAAAATCATAACTAAATATTACTCAAGTCACTGGAATCAACGATTGCAGAGAAAACTAAGCAACACTTGGAAAAAGATTACCTCAATTTTCCAGGTGCAGGGAGAAAGAGCTCAAAAGCAAGCAAATTCTCGGTTTTATGCAACTATTTATTGGACGTAAATGATGAATATCAGACGCGTGGATACACAAAATGACGGTGTAAGTGTGTGAAGTGGTAACGCCGACACGTCATCATTTTAATACTAAATAATAATTGAAAATTCCGAATGTTAAATTCAATTTAAATAACGTCATTGTTGAAAGGAAAATGCTAAAGTGTCCGAATTTTAGTGATTGAATAGGTGATCGATTCTCACATGGAGCGTGGATCCCGCATGAATAAAATAATGCTCGATCCTCCAGGTGTGAGTATTCGATCATCCCGCACGTCAACAATTATATTTGTATAGCATAATCCTTATTGAGAATCATATTTCTCCTTGGATAATTAGCGCAAAACTTTTCTAACCTTTGTCTATTAAGTTTAGATTTATAAAAAATTAATTTTTTAGAAGGTTTGAAATTGTGGAAGACATAAATGAAAGTTTGGAATCACATCTACAGCTTCTTCTTTTTTTCTTTTCTTTTTTTTTAATTTTGAGCCTGTTTAACACCTCAACTAGCGGACTTGGACGTTAGGGAGGTCTTTCACATGAAAAAGGTCATCTAGAGTATTTTTCATTAATCAAAAAGAATATAAGGTATTTCACAATAAAAGTAAAAAGATTTAAGGGTTTTGTGCCAGTTATCCTTTTTCTTTTGTAAAGCCCCTACTCGTCTACCATTTAAAGAAGGAAAAAGATTTCGGTATAATAAATTTTTAGATAATGTGTGATTAAAAAGTAGAAAAAATTTGTGTTTATATACAAAATATTTTATTGTGAAAGTGTGTAGTCAAAAATGAATTTGAAAAAAAAAAAAGTTTTGAAATAATAATTGACAAACAAAAGCTAAATTCTTATCTTGTCACTTTCTATTTTTTTTTTTTTTTTTTTTTTTTTTTTTAGAGAGAAGTCTGATGCATTTGAGAATTTTAAGAGCTTCAAGGTCATCATAGAAAATCAAAGTGGATACAAGATTAAAGCTTTATGCTCGAATCATGGTGGGGAATACATTGGCAAAATTTAAAAAAAAACTTTATGAAGAACATGGAAAACATCATTCTTTGATTGTTCTTATGTCACCTCAACAAAATAGCATAGCAGATAGAAAACAACTGTCATGGAAATGGCAAGAAGCATATTAGAGACCAAACAATTGTCAAAGGAATTTTGGGTTGAAGCTGTACAATGTGCTGTGAATTTACTTAATCAATGCCAACTAAAAATATAAAACATATGACTCCACAAGAATCATAGAGTGGATTCAAGTAAAGTGTGTTACAAGTTTTTGGAAGCATTGCTTGTTCTCATGTTCTAAGAGAAAAGAGGAGCAAATTAGATGACAAGAGTGAGAAATACATCTTTACTGGCCATGATTTAAGATCGAAAGGTTACAAACTCTACAATCCGAAGAATGAGAAGGTGATCATTAGTAGATATATCGAAATTGATGAAGATGGCATCTAGGATTGGAACAATCAACAAGGTGAAATTTTAATTTCTTTCCTTTTGATGATATTGAAGAAAAAATTGGAGAGGTTCCACCTCAACCAACACCACCAAAGACTCTATCATCAAGTCATGGTCATGATACACCTTCATCATCCTCAAGTGATGGGCCTCAAAGATATAGGAGTCTTCAAGAGATTTATGATAATACCTAGGAAAAACTCAACATCTGAAGAATTAACTCTCTTTTGTCTTTGTCGATTACGCAATTATAAGCTTTGATGATGCCATTCAAAATGAGAAATGGAAGAAAGTCATGGATAAAGAAATCAAAGCCATTGAAAAGAATGATACTTGGGAGTTAGCCTCACTTCCTGATAGTCAAAAGCCTATTAGAGTTAAGTGGTTTTCCAAAGAAAAGAAGAATGCAAGTAGTGATAGTTGAACAATACAAAGCAAGATTAGTAGCTAAATGCTAAAGGAAAAAAACATGGTGTTGATTATGATTAATTGTTTGCATCTATCGCTCGTTTTTAAACAATTAGATTGATTATCACCATGACAGCATAAAATAGATGGAAGATTCACCAAATGGATGTAAAATTAGCCTTCTTAAATGAATTTCTACAAGAGAAATTAATTACCTTGAGAAACGGCACGAAGACAAAGTGTTGAAGTTGAAAAGAGCTTTGTATGGTTTAAAACAAGCACCAAGGGCATGAAATTCAAGACTCGACAAATTTCTTTCAAGGAAACAGATTCATTAAATGTCCTTATAAACATGCTCTCTCTATTGAAAGGTCAATTCTAATGGTAATATCTTAATTGTGGATGATCTAATTTTTGCAGGCAACAATTTAAATTATTCAATGAATTCAAGAGAACTATGGCCAAATAAATTGAAATGTCTAATATTGGGCTATACTACATTGGCATTGAAGTAAAGCAATAAGAAGATGGAATTTTCATTTCTCAAGAAGCATATGCTAAAAAAATTCTTGAAAAGTTCAAAATAGATTATTGCAAGCCAGTTAGCATCCCCTTTGATTGTGAAATAAAATTATCGAGATTTGATGATGGTGAGAAAGTTGATTCGACTCTTTACAAGAGCTTGTTGGAAATTTAGGGATACTTGACATGTACAAGATCTGGTATTTTGTTTCATGCTAGTTTCGTTAGTCGATACATGGAGAATCCGACCATAATACATTTGAAAGCCATAAAGAGAGTTTTACGATACATCAAATGTATTATTCACTATGGTTTATTTTATTTATATTCCAATAATTTCAAGCTTGTAAGATATAGTGACAGTAATTGGGCAGAAGATATACAAGTGGTGATGTATTTTTCATAGGAGATACGACTTTTACATGGTCTTCAAAGAAACAACCTATTGTTACACTCTCAAGTTATGAAGTAGAGTATGTTGCAATTGCATCTTGCATTTGTTACGCGATTTGACTTCGCATTTTGTTAAAGAAAGTTCATTTGCAACAAGGTGATCCAACAAAATTTTTTGTTAATAACAAGTCAGCATCTTCGTTGGCTAAAAATCTTGTTTTTCATAATCGAAGTAAGCATATCATGAAGTATTACTTTTTTTGAGACTCTGTTGACAAACAATACACGAAGTTAAAGTTTGTGAAGTCTCAAGGTCAGATTGTTGACATTTTCATCAAGCTATTGAAGATTGATGCATTTGTGAAGTTTCAAAGTTTGCTCGGAGTTACCATACATCAAGTTTAAGGGCAGGTGTTGAAATGTATACTTGATTTTTAAATTAAGTTCATTCATGCATGTTGAGATACGTTGTACTAGTTGATTCATGTATTTTGATATATTCTTGAATCATTTTAGGAGGACAAATGTAGTAACGGTGAATACTATGATGCTCAGACTCTTCAAAAATGGAGAAGTGTCCATGTCGATACAACATGACACGGATACTGACACGAGATATGGATAGGATCCTTGGTTTTGCACTTGGACACGGCAGCAAAAGGGAAAAATCGGCGAAAGACGGGGAGTTGGGGAAGGCTGAGGTATTGTAGAAAGAAGCAGTTGAAGGAAAAAGAAGAAGAAGAAGACGAGCAGTTGTAGAAAGAAAAATGATGGGAGGAGCTTAGGAAAACGATTGATATCTGCCCTAATCTAGTGTGGGTTTTGGACCAATTTTTTAATGTGGGTCATCGACCCAATTTTTAATAGGGAAGAGTTCACATCTCAGGTGTTAAGTTTACCTCAAATCAAAAATCAGATAGATACTTTTAAAATTCAAAAACTAGGTTTATATTTAATTAATTAAAATATTTATTAAATGAAGATAATAAAGTCATACTTACACGATTAATGGTCAAATATTCATAATTATAGGTCACAAATTTATTTATTAGTCACATATCGTCAAATTAATTGATCACAAAATTATTTCGTGGTCACAAATCAAAATTTTGTAAATCACATATTATTTCGAGGTCACAGTTCATTCAAATTACAAGTCACATTGTATCTATGAGTCACATATGTCACAGTTTATCGTTCACAAATTATTTTTTAGTCACAGACATCTAATTGTCGGTCACATATGCCTATTGTCGGTCACAGATGCCCCCACTCGTCACCGCCACCGCAACAATCACTACCGACATCATCATCAACAACACAACAATGGTTCGACACCACTGCCTCCAAAACCACCATCACCTCACCAACACAAGCATCGCAACCCCTTGCCACCACCATCATGGGCACCACTGTGCCGATAACACCACCACACCATCGCGCCCACACACACCACCACCGCACCACCCACAACACACTACACCAGTACCATTTCCTCTATCTCTATTTACACCACCCCCACCAAAGAATCCACAAGCCTACCACCACCACTTAAAAAACACAATAAAACACGCCGAAAAATCACACCAACACGGCAACACCACACCACAAACACCACCGCACATAACACCACAACACCGCCACCACCATACCATATCTGAATCCGTCGTGAAGCGAAGCCATTCACAGAGCTTTCATCACAAAACAACACCTCTTTAACCCAATTAGTGTCCAGAGGCATCGCGGCAAGCGCAGTCGCAGGCGCTGCTTTGAGCTGTGGCTCACAAAAATCGGAGCAAGACGTATCTCCGACGTCGTCTTTTTTCGGCTTATCTTCCCGCAGTAGCGACGTTCCTAGGCAGAGGTCACCGTCGCACCCCTTGCAGCCTCCGCCACTCTTCTTTGCAGCGATGCCGTTGGTGACTGATCTCCTATAGCGATTTGTTATAGAGAGAAGGAAGAGATTGTAGAGTGACAAAGGAAGTGACGAGATTGAATTGGGGAATTGATTAGGGTTTTTAATTGAATTGATTGAATTAACTATATATAATACCTAATGTTTGCATAGACAAATTTCATCCCTGAACTTTGAATTTAAACTTTTAAATGCCTGGTTCTATGTAATTTCCTCTTTTTAATATACCATATGGGTCTTGTAAAAATGAGTTAATAAAATTATAATTATTTTATTTTGATTAATTGTATGATCCAACCC